CATCCCCTTCTCCACTTCAAAAACTGTCATAACTCCTTTGATCTATGCTGCCCGATGGCGTAACCACTGGGGGACAAGGGGAAATATCGATCTTTGAAAAATCTTCCCCACCCCTTTATAAATGCCCTTTTCATCCCTGAAAACGCCTAAAAACCTCAAATTTCGCGCGCATTTATTGTTAACATGTTCCAATTTCCTCTAAAAATTGCACATTTTAGGGAGTTATGATCAATTCCAACGAAATTAGAATTAAGAACACCGGGGGACAAGGGGAAAATATCCATCTTTGGAAAATCTTTCCCCACAAATGCATCCTCTGAAAGTGCCTAAAATTCTCAAATTTTTTGCGCGCATTTCTTGTTACGGTAGGCCAATTTCCTCTATAAATTTCACATTTAAGGGAGTTTTCATCAATTCCGACGAAATTAGAATTAAAAACACAAAAAAATTTGCGCGCATTTTTTAGGGCTTGTTTTTATGTTTATCCGTTCAAGTTATTTAAACACATAATAGTGAAAAACTCAAGAAAGACAAATTTAAGATAGATCGTTTTAACTTAAAAGAAGGGCCTCAATGTGTATTGATGGTGAAAGAATATGTTTGTAATAAATAAAACCATGATGAAAATGCTTATATTTAGTTTCAAACACACGTGTGTGGCCTATATTATTAATAAGATAAGCCCTATGTCGTATTGTTTTCTATATGGGGAGTGGGGTGGGGTGGGTATGGTAAATTACTAACCGGGAAAATAAATACCCACTCTAACCCAAGACCCCTGTTACGCGCCTGGTGTTAGCACCAATGTGTGCCCTTGTGCGGACAGGGGATGTGCCTCCCTCTGAAGCTGGAAACCTTGTTTTTGCAAAATAAATTGATGCAATTTGCTATTATAGGCCTAATCAATAAATTCCTCATCAACCGATATAACCTTAAACATTCTTGGAATTGACATAAGATTGCTGATGTCGTACACACCATTCAGTGTGAAATGTGGCTCTCTTTGCAAGCACATCTAACATCTAAGGAAAGAAGAGCTTAGATTGGTACCAGATAAAATAATTTTGTTATCATCATTAATACATTATGTTAATTTTCGTCTTTGTAAGCGCATAAGACAATGCAAATTATTTCTGTGACAGTCTTTTGAAGTGTGTAAAGCTCCATTTTATCCCATACATTGTCAAAATATTGGGGGGGGGGTGATACAATGGACCATCCTCCCCCCCCCACCTGTCAAATATATTGGGGGGGAAATATATCCCCCATCCCCCGGGATCTGCGCCTATGGGAACTGTGATTGATGAAGAAATATTTTAAAGGTTATATTTAAAATGTGGACCTTTCCGAAGTGTCATTTGATGAATTGGATTGGAATTATTCGATGTAACTGACCCAGGAATATTCGAAGACGACAGCAGCGCACTTCTAGTGGTGAATGGCGATTGAACATGCAGTAAACTGTGAGACTTCTCAATTTTCTCCGAAGAGTGCTGGTCTATTTTTTAACGTGCACATGGGTCATATTGCACAAGTAACCAACGGCTTAAAACGTCTCATCGGAAAGACAGTGCGCTATTGAAGCCCTCCAACTAGGGGTGGCTTAAGGATCTGGGGGCGAAGTCCCGATGAGGAAGGGGCGATGTCGCCGACGAGAGCAAAGTAGGCATGGTCGGTTGTTACTCAAGATCAATATAAAATGGTCCAGGAGGCGAAGTTTATAGTCCTATGACATGGTTTGAAAGGTGTATTTAATCGATACAGAGTAGAAAACACATAGTATTTTATTCTCTCCAACGAATTGTGGTTTTTCCAGTGGCGTATCTAGAAGTCTTGAAATGGGGATGCTGATGGGGGAGGTGCGCGAAGGTGAAGTGGAGGAGGGGGGAAAGGGCGATGATCAGTTGAGGGACGCTAACTCGTAAAATAAGTGAATTTAGCTGACTTTTAACTACTTGCAGGTGATTTTTAGGGAGACTGGGAGGGAAGGAGGGTGGCGCGAGTAATTTTTGGAGGAGCGTGCGCACCCCCGTAGATACTGTTATCTCCCCGGCTGGATGGGGCTGGCGCCACCCCTGCCTCCAACTGAAACACAAAGAGAGAGCGCTGATTGAAATTGAAACGGGGAACCAAGAGATCTCCATGTTTAGCCAACTGAGCTAAGCTGATCACAAATAAAAATTGTCATATTAGAAATTTAACTGAGCATACTATATATA